AAAAAAAAATACATTAGAGGGACTATAAAGCAGATTAGATGAAACCAAGGATTGAGTCAGCAATTTAGAAGATAAAGTAGCAGAAAACATCCAAACAGAACAGCAAAAAGAAAAAAACAAAAAAAAATAAGGACAGTTTAAGGGGCCTCTGGGACATCAAGTGTACCTACATTCACATCCTAGGGGTACTAGAAGAAGAGAGAGAGCAAGGAATTGAAAACATATATTTGAAGAAATAATTACAGAAAACTTCCCTATCCTGACAAAAGCAATAGACATACAAGCTCAGGAAAAGCAGGGAGTCCCAAACAAGATGAACCCAAACAGGCCCACACCAAGACACATCACAATTAAAATGCTAAAGGTTAAAGACAAAGATAGAATCTTACAAGCAGGAAGAGAAAAGCAGTTAGTTACCTACAAGGGAGCCCCCATAAGACTGTCAGCTGATTTCTCAACAGAATCTTTGCAGGCCATAAGGGATAGGCACAAAATATTCAATGTGATGAAAGACAAGGACCTACACCCGAGATTACTCCGCCAAGCACGGCTATCATTTAGAATTGAAGAAGAGATAAAGAGCTTCCCAGACAAGAAAAAGCTAAAGGAGTTCATCACTACCAAACCAGCATTATAAGAAATGTTAAAGAGAGCTATATACGAAGTCAGAGGGGGTGGTAGACTGGAAGGGGGGTTATCACATTGTGAGGGGTATAAATGGCTATCATTATGTTGCTTTGTAACCTGAAACTAATATAAAAATATTTTTTAATTAAGTAAAATGAAAAAGAAAAAAAATACACACACACACACACACACACACACACACACACACACATATTGGGTTGCTGGAAAAGTCATGACGCATTTTTGCAACGAAAAACATAGAAAAGGAAGTCATGACTTTTCCAACAACTATATATATATATATAAAATTTCAAAGAAAATCTTCCATATAAAGAACTGACAGTAACATGATGTTTATTTTCTCCTAGTTCAAAATTCCTGTTATGTTAATAAAGCATTTTGTTGTTATCGTTTAAAAAAAAAAAGGTTAAAGAGACTTATTTAAGAAGTAAACAAAACATCAAAACTATGAATAATAAAATGGCAATAACTACATTATGAATCAACAACTACTTTAAATGTAAATAGAGTAAATGCTCCAATCAAAAGACATAGGGGTGGCTCCCTTACATATACTGCCTACAAAAGACTCACTACAGATTGAAAGACACACACAGACTGAAAGTAAAGGAATAAAAAAAGATGTTTCATGAAAATAGAAATGGGGAAAAAAAAACTGGGTAACAGTACTAACACCACACAAAATAGACTTTAAAACGAAGGCTTATAACAAGAGACAAAGAAGGACCCAGTAATTCCACTTTTGGGTATTTATCTGAAGAAACACAAAACACTACTTCAAAGGGACATGTGCATCCATATGTTCATTGCAGCATTGTTTACAATGGCCAAGATGTGGGGGCAGCCTGGGTGTCTATCAATGGATGAACGGACAAAGAAGAGGTGGTATTAATACATATATACAAAAGGAATCATTACTCAGCCTTCAAAAAGAATGAAACTTGCCAACAATACAGATGGACCTAGAAGGTATTGTGCTGAGTGGAGTAGTCAGACAAAAAAACACAAATGCCATATCATTTTATTTACATCTGGAATCTAAAAAACAAAATAAATGAACAAACAAGACAGAAACAGACTCAAAGAGAACATTTTGATGGTTACCAGACGGGAGGAGGTTTGGGGATGGGTGAAAAAGAGGAAGGGATTCAGAAGCACAAACTGGTTGTTACACAGTAGCCATGGGGATGTAAGGGCACAGCATAAGGAATATAGTCAATAATATTGTAATAACCACATATGGTATAAAACAGGCACTAGGTTTATCAGGGTGATCACTTTGTAAGTTATATAAATGTCTAATCACTATGTTGTACATCTGAAACTAATATATTACTGTATGTCAACTGCAATTGAAAAATAAAAAATTATTAAAAAAAAAAAAAGCGGGCCAGCCGAGTGGCACGTTGGTTAAGAGCTGGCTTGGGAAGCCAGAGGGCCGCGGTTCAGATCCCACATATGAGGGCCAGTGACACTGCCCTCTACAGCTAAGATGCTGAACAACAGCTCAACCTGGAGCTGGGCTGCCGTGAGTGGCTGGCGACAGTGTAGGCTGCAGCCCCTGCTGCAGTGGGTTGCCATGGGCTACTGTGTGTAGCCAGCAGCCAGCGTGAGCGGCCAGCAGCCGCAGTGAGAGGCCGTCCAGAAGCTGGTGACTGATCTGCCTTGCCTGGGAAGAGCACGAATGATGCTGTCAACTCGGGCCAGTAAAGCAGCGTCCTCCACAACTAGACTGAAGAACAAAAGGACAGCAACTTGTCTATTCCCCTTCCCCAATTCCTCAGCACTGTTCCCCTCCCCTAATTCCCCAATAAAAAACTTTGGAAAAAAAAAAAAGAAATCAGAGTACAGATGAAGGAAGATCCCAATTGTACAAACAAGAAAATTGTAGGGTAATATGGATAGTTTTCTGGTTTTAATCATCAGATTAAACTGCTATAGATATTTTTATGATAGCTAAATGGATACTTAAAATTAACTTTGTTAAATAAAGAACAGAATTATTTAAATTTAAAATCAACATTTATTGAGTGATGAATATGCGTGAGGCCTGGTCTAAGTACTTTCTTTACATGTTTTATTCTCACACATTTAATCTTTAAGATAATCTTATAAGGTAAAGAAAAGTCATACAATCCCCACTTTACAAATGAAGAAATTGAGGTGCAGAGAAGTAGAATAACTTGCACAATACAATTAACATAGGATTAAAACCCAGGAAATCTGACACCATAGTCCATACTCTTAACCATGGGAGTATACTGTTTTAAACTGTTATGATTATTTATAATATAATACATTTTATAAAAGCTTAATAGTTTTTATTTAATATGTAGTTAAAGCTCAAGATATTTTTACAATTGTTACTAATATTTCCAATTACATAGCATAACCATTTTATTTATGCAGCATTTTAGGAACACTTTTAAAAATAGATGACTAAAAACAACAGGTTATATATTAAAATTACAAATCTTGGGCTGGATATATTAAAAATACAATCTTGGGCCAGCCGAGTGGCTCAGTTGGTTAAGAGCGTGAGCTCTGAGCAACAGGGTCGCCGGTTCGATTCCCACATGGGCCAGTGAGCTGCGCCTGAGCTGAGCTGCCAATAGGTGGCAGGATGGCTCAGCTGGTGAGAGCACGTGCTCATAACAACAAGGTTGCCGGTTCAAATCCTGCATGGGATGGTGGGCGACACCCACCCGCAACACAATGAACACGGCACCTTGAGCTGAGCGGCCGTGAGCTGCCGAAGGGCGGCCGGATGGCGACTGGACTTGGAGCTGAGCTAGCTGCACCCTCCACAACTAAGACTGAAGGACAACAACTTGGCTGTTCCCCTTTCCCAACTCCCCAATAAAATCTTAAAAAAAAAAAAAGAATACAATCTTAAGGCATTTTTAGATGCTATTCTAGATAGTTTGAAAAGATTAAAGAAACTATTCATCCTATGGAAATTAGTGCTAGTCAACCTAAATGATATCCTTATCAAATCTCAAATTATTTAGCCATATATGGAAAAGGAAATGAGGCTGCGTTAGATTCTGTTGTGTAAATAGTACACTGTGTACATTAACAGTTATAATGCATTTTTTTTAAAAAATATTGATCAAACTGACAATTCTACTGAGAAACTATATATGAATTATGATTTAAAACCAATATTAAAAGCAAGGTGGAGTCACAGGCCTGTTAATCTCAAACTGGTCATCAGGCCTCCTACTTTGGCTATATCACCATTTAGAGAAGAAAAAGGAGATAAAAAATAACCATAATAGTAGCTGAAACAGAATATCCAAGTCGAATATCATCTACATTTTTCTACCACTGCAAATAAAATTTCTGATGATAAAGTCCATTGCCAGTACATGCTGAAAACAAAAATATCACTGAAGAAACAAGAAAAACTGGGTTTTTTAATTTTTTTCCACACCTAATTCTCTGTTGCCTACCTGAAATCCATGCTTGCCTCTCCACCATGTGCTTAACACCTTGGGGGGCATGTCAATGACGGAAACAATGTCGCCCACCTAGGAGAACAAATTTTAAGTGGAATGCTTTTAGTCAACTTTTAAAACAAACTGCTACATCTAGAATTTAAATGTGAACTGTAATGAAAAGGTTAAGTACTATTTTATTCTCTGGTTAATTGTTTATGGAAATACATAATACTTCTTTCTGTTAAGAATTTAATAATCTTAACCATTTGTTAAGGAGAGGTCTACAAAAAGTAAAGCAGTACAAAGACTACGATCCAATTATCACATGAGTAGTAACTTCAGAAAGCCAAATTTACAGTACAAGATCTTTGAAGGCTAGGCCTCATCAACACTTCTGTTGGAATAATGTTACTGCTGCAACTAAAAGTGAACAGATATAAAAGACAGTTTTAAATACTCATATACAGAGCAACAGGAGTTTCTATCAATACCACATTTAGTGAGCACTTACTATATGCCAGACATTGTGCTGAGCACTTGATATTACCTTATTTAATCATATAGGAAAGGTCTAAGATGTCTACAATTACTGCGTTATTCTTAGTAAATATAAAATTTGATGACAACTACATTTTTCAACAGATAGTACAATATAACATTTCCACTAACTACCTTACGATCTTCACTCTAAAACTCAAACTAGTGTTTTATAACAAACTTACTTTTACAAAATAAATATAAAATCGCAATAGTTTTTAATAACACATTTAATGAAAGTTATCTTCTATCAAAATACTCGTAAGTGATGATCTCTGAAATAAAACATAGTTAAGTACTTCAGAGCAATGTTACTAATATATACAATATTGCTTTAAGAATTTTTCTTTGTATATTCACAATTCACAACTAATTTTTCGAGTCAGGAAAGTCATCTTCACAAAGCCTTATTTGCTAACAGACTTGGTACCTTTCAAGATCTACATTCCTTTGTGTATAGAACCCAAAAATTGAGTTTGAGAACAGTTTAAATTCTACACAGTAAAAATTTATACTGTTTTTTCTTAAAGTGAAAACGGTTTTGGTTTTTGTCTTTCAATAGCCAATATGAAAAGAAACTTAATTCTCCTTTTGCATCTAAAAGCAAAAAATGTTCATTTCTCTTCTCATTTATCCTTTTAACGCAATCTCTGAACAAACAATAAGAAAAAAAGTATCATTGGATATCATTTCTTTACATACTAAAAACACAATGGGAAAAAAAATTAAAAAGACTGAGACCTGGCTTTCAAGATGCTCACAGAGACAAATAAGAGAACAATTGTGATTGAATGTAATTAAGTGATATGTCAGAGATAAGCCATGAGAATGGTTCAGAATGACATTCAATTCAGACTTTGGGGGGTTTATATTTGCATGGAGTAGGAGAAGATCAAGGATGACCTCCTCGAAGAAATGGGAGACACTGAAGCTGAATTTTCAAGGATGAGTACAGTCATTTAAATAAAAATAGATGGGTTTCAAGTGTAGTTTTCTATAATACATCATCCATATATTGCATTGTGTGTTCACCACCCAGAGTCAGTTCTCCTTCCATCACCATATTTTACTAACCAATGTCACACAAATAAATCTAATTAAAAAAACAAAAAAACAAAAAAACAGAACTACATGCAGGGGGAAATTCTTGAAATATTAACAGTCTCTGGACGGTGATTTTTACTTTCTTCTACATATCTGATTTTTAAATTTCCTTTAAGGAGTGACAGGAATAAATGAGGAAGAGGATAACACAAATTGTTTTAAAAATTGAGATAACGGAATAGAATGCATTTCCATGGAAATTGACTAAAGTAAAAGTTCTCAAAAACACCTTGAGGAATTTTTCCATTCGGGTCACTAATATTTCTTTAGCATTTAGATATTTTGGCCAGTCAATCAATGTTAATAAATATAAAACAATTAAGGAAGGAAGAAAGGAAGGGAGGGAGAGAGGGAGAGAGAAAGTAGGTATACCAAGCTATCAGATGATGGGGTATGAAAAATCTGGTACTTTTCATTTAAAAATGATTAATAAAACAGTTTAAAATGAGGCTGGAAAGAGAGCAAACACTGACTAACACAGCATCTTTAGGCATTTACCTCTAAGGTCAACTCATCAGGTGCCCGAGCAGTGTACCTCTTGATAACGTGGGCAGCACCGACAGCAGGAGTGTTAATGGATGATTCTTCATGTACTAGAAGGTGATTTCCCTTGTTATCAATCTATAACAATAAAAAATGTACTGAGGTGGTTAAAGTCATGGGACTTGCAAAAGGAGATAATCCAATTTGATTTAGGGAAGCTATAACCCAAAGAATCTTTTAAAAAAGTACTACCATTTCTTGAGTACTTAATATATGCCAGTCATTGTGCTATACATACAACATATGATTTAATTTAATCTGCATAACTCTAAAACATATTTATCTCATTATCATCACTTAAAGATGAAGATTTTTAAAATGAAGATGTAATTTACAAGAGATTAAATAATTTCTCCAAGACCACATGGACAATACTGAAAAAGCAAAGATCTCAATGCAACTTGGCTTGGCTCTAAATTTTACATTCTTTCTACTTTTCATCCTATCTTCCCAACTTCCAATGGGAGTACAGAATAATATAACTGCATATGCAAATTAAGGGAAAATACCTAACATATTTACTGGATACTGTATAACCCAACACATTCTTTTTTTTTCTATTTTGTTTGTTTATTGCTTTTTAGATTCCACATATAAGTGAAATCACATATTTATCTTTCTCTGGCTTATTTCACTTAGCATAATACCCTCTAAGTCAACCCATATTGTCACAGACGGTAAGATTTTATTCTTTTTATGGCTCAATAATATTCCATTGTAGTATATATATGTATATATAACACTTTTCTTTCTCCATTCATAGATGGACACTTAGGTTGCTTTCATATCTTGGCTACTATAAATAGTGCAGCAATGAACACAGGGATGCATATATCTAATTAGTGTTATGGATTTCTTCAGATAAATACCCAAAAGTGGAATTGCTGAGTCATGTAGTAATTCAATTTTTAAGTTTTTGAGGAAACTCTATTGTTTTCCACATTGCCTGCAACAATTTACAGTCCCACCAACAATGCAGGAGAGTTCCCTTTTCTCCATATTCTCACCAACATTTGTTTGTTGATTTATTAATGATAGCCATTCTGACAAATGTGAGGTGATACATCATAGTGGTTTTAATTTGCATTTCCCTGATGATTACTAATGTTCAGCATCTATTTATATGTCTGTTGGTCATCTGTATGTCCTCTTTAGAGGAATGTCTATTCGTGTCCTCTGCCCATTTATTAATTGGAAAGTTTGGTTTTTTTGGTGTTAACTTGTATGAACTCTTTATATATTTTGGATGTTAACCCAGTATCAGATGTATCATTAGGGAATATCCTCCCCCATTCCATAGGTTGTCTTCTTGGTTTTTTTCATGGTTTCCTTTGCCATGCTTGTATCTTTAATTGATATAGTTCCATTTATTTATTTTTGCTTTTGTTTCCCTTGCCCAAGGAGACATATAACCCCATCCCCCCCCCCAAAAAAAAATGTTTCTAAGAGCAATGCTTAAGAGTTTGCTGCCTAGGTTGTCTTCCAAGAGTTTTATAGTTTCAGGTCTTACATTTAGTTTAATTCATTTTGAGTTTACTCTTGTATATAGTGTAATAAAGTGTTCTAATTTAATTGTTTTGCATGTATCTGTCCATTTTCCCCAGCACCAGTTATTGAAGACACTGTCTTTACATCATCGCATATTCTTGCTCCCTTTATCATAGGTGAGTTGAACATACAGGCATGGGTTTATTTTTGGCTCTCTAATCTGTTCCATTGATCTGTGTGTCTGTTTTTATACCAGTAAAAATGTTGTTTTGACTGCTATATAGCCTTGTAGTACAGTTTGATATCAGGTAGCATAATACCTCCAACCTTCTTCTTCTTTCTCAATACTATTTTAGCCATTTAGGGTCTCTTGTGGTTTCATACAAATTTTGGTGGAATCTTTAGGGTTCTCTATAGATGTTTTCATGTCACCTGCAAATAATGACAGTTTTACTCTTCCTTTCCAAATTGGATGCCTTTTACTTCTTTTTCTTGTCTGATTGCTATGGCTAGGACTTCCAACACTATGTTGAATAAAAGTGATGAAAGTGGGCATCCTTGTCTTGTTCTGATCTTAAGGAAAAGAACACTTTTAGCTTTTTCCCACTGAGTATGATGTTAGCTGTGGGTTTGCTGCATATGGCCTTTATTACGCTGAGGTATGTTCCCTCTATTCCCACTTTGCTGAGAGTTTTTATCATAAATGGGTGCTGGACTTTGTCAAATCCTTTTTCTGCAATTATTGATATGATCATATGATTTTTATCTTTCATTTTGTTTATGTATCACGTAAATTGATTGGTGGATACTGAACCAACTTTGCATCCCAAGAACAAATCCCATTTGATCATGGTATATCATCTTTTTCTGTATTGCTGAATTCAGTTTGGTGATTTTTATTTTTATTTTTTTGAGGATTTTCGCATCTATGTTCATCAGGGATATTGGCCTATAATTTTCCTTTTTTGGAGTGTCTTTCACTGGTTTGCATTTCAGGGTTATGGTGGTCTTGTAGAATGAGCTTGGGAACCTGCCCTCCTCTCATATTTTTTGGAATAGTTTGGAGATAGGTGTTAATTCTTCTTTGAATGTTTGGTAAAATTCACTGTGAAGCCATCTGGTCCAGGACTTTTGTTGATAATTATTGGATTACTGATTTGATTTCATTAGTAGTTATTGGTCTATTGAGATTTTCTGATTCTTCCTGATTCAGTCTTGGAAGACTATATGTTTCTAGGAATTTATCCATTTCGTCTTGGTTGCCCAATTTGTTGGCAAGTAATTGTTCATACTATATTTTATAATTCCTTGAATTTCTTTGGTATCAGTTCCCACTTCCCTTTTATTTCTGATTTTATTTGGGCCATCTCTCTTGTTATCTTGGTGATTCAGGCTAAAGGTTTATCAATTTTGTTTCTTTTCAAAGAACCAGCTCTTGGTTTCACTGATTTTTTTTTCTATTGTTTTTTAGACTCTCTTTTGTTTACTTCTGCTCTCACCTTTATTATTTCCTTCCTTCTACTCACTTTAGCATTTGTTTGTTTTTTCTAGTTCCTTCAGCTGTAAGGTTAGATTGCTTCTTCAAGATTTTTCTTGTTGGGCCAGTCGAGTGGTGCATTGGTTAGGAGTTGGCTTGGGATGCCAGCTCTGAGCAGCAGGGCCCCGATTTGGAGCCTACATGAACGAGGGCCAGTGACGCTGCGCCCTCTACAACTAAGATGGTGAACAACAGCTAGACCTGGAGCTGGGCTGCTGTGAGTCGCCGGCGACGACGTAGGCTGCAGCCCCTGTGGTAGTGGGTTGCCATGGGCTACCGTATGTAGCCAGCAGCCAGCGTGAGCGGCCAGCAGCCACAGTGAGCGGCCGTCCAGAATATGGCGACTGATCTGCCTCATCCGGGAAGAGCGCAGTGATGGTGCCACTTGGGCCAGTGAAGCAACGCCCGCCACTAGACTGAAGAACAAAACGACAGCAACTTGTTTGTTCCCCTTCCCCCAATCCCCCAATAAAAAAAAATCTTTAAAAAAAATAATAATAAAATAATAATAATTATCGATAGGTTAGTAGTTATTGCCATGTTATTATTTTCTGATTGTTTTTGTAGTTTCCTGTTTCTTTCTCTTATTCTCTTCACCTCTTTGCTTTTATGTTGATGACTTTGAACAGTATTGTGTTTGGATTCCATTCTTTTTTTTTTTATATCTCTTACAGATTTTGGGTCTGAGATTACCATGTATATATTAAGTTATATATATATAGCAGTCTATTTTAAGTTGATGGTCACTTAAGTTTGAAGTCTTTCTAAAATCATTACCATTTTTACTCACAACTGCCATGTTTATGTTTTTGTCATAATTTTTTATTTCTTTCAAGTGTGTGTTTGTGTGTATCCCTTAATTTGCCATTGTAATTACACATGATCTTCCTATTTTGCCTTTTTAACCTTTGTACTAGCTTTATAGTTGGTTGATCCACTGCTTTTACTAAATGTTTGCTTTGTCAGTGAGAATTTTTTTTCTTTCTTTTATTTTATTATTCATATTTTTTATCTTTTCTACTTAATGAAGCTCCTTTAACACTTCTTGTAATACTGGTATAGTGGTGCTGAACTCTTTTAGCTGCTTCTCATCTGGGAAGCCATTTATCTGTCTTTTGATTCTAAACAATAAATAGCCTTGTTGGGTACAGCAATTTTAGCTGTACATCTTTGTTTTCATTTAAATATTTGTGCCCATCCTTTCTGGCCTGCAAAGATTCTGTTGAAAACCAGCTGACAGTCTCACAGACGCTCCCTTGCAGACAACCAGCTGCTTTTTTCTTGCTGCTCTTAAGATTCTCTTTGTTTTTTATCTTTGCTATTTTAATTATGATGTGCCTTGATGTGGGCCTCTTTGGGTTTATCTTGTTTGGAACTGTTCAGACTTCTTGAACTTCTATGCCCATTACCTTCACCAGGATAGGCCAAGTTTTGTCATTATTTCTTCAAATAGGTTTTTAATCCCTTGCTCTCTCTTTCCTATATGGCAATCCTATGACGTGAATGATGTTGTCCCACAGGTCCCTTAAACTACCCTCATTTTTAAAATTTTTTTTTCCTTTTGCTGTTCTAATTGGGTATTTTACACTACCTTGTCCTCCAGATCACTGACTCAATCATCTGGTTCATCTAACCTGCTGTTGATTACCTCCAATGTATTCTTCATTTCAGTCATTCTTCATTTCTGATTGGCTTGTTTTTATATTTTTTATCTCCTATTTAATGTTTTCTATTTCTTTGTTGAAGTTCTCACAGATTTCATCTATTCTTCTACTAATTTCAGTGAGCATCCTTATAGTAAGTCTTTTAATCTTTATATCTGGTAGATTGCTTATTTCCATGTTGTTTACTTCTCTTTCTGGAGTTTTGTCCTGTTCTTTGACTTGGGACCTTTTTACCCTTTGGTTTCATTTTGGCTGATTCCCTGTATTTGTTTCTGTGTATTAGGTAGATCTGCTATGTCTACTGGTCTTAACAGAGTGGCCTTATGTAGAAGGTGTCCTGTGGGACCCAGTGGTGCCGTCTGCCTGTTCATCTGAGCTGGGTGCTCCAGGAGTGACCCCTGTATGGGTTGTGTGTGCAGTTGAGCCTTGATTACTGTTGGTACATCAGTGGGTAGGGTTGAACCTCAAGCTGACTGCCTGTGAGGGTTGGCCATGACTGCACTGGACAAGTTGTTGTGTGGGGGCTCACTCCACAGAGTGGGAGTAGCTTTAGTGAGGCTCTGGTGCCAGCTGAGTCCATCCTTTGGGTGTGTCATTTGAGGAGCTGGTTGGGTGGTACTCTGGTGTGGTCTGAAGCTGGACACCAGGTGTGTTGGTTCTGGAGCCTCTTTGGAGGGGCTCTGGTGCCGGTCAAGGTCAGCCACCACTTGTGCTTGGCCTGCAGCCCCTTGAAAGAAGCTATAAAGTTAAGGTATGTTGCCACTTGTGTGGGTTTGGAGGTGCTTGCTATGGACTGAGGCCAGCTGTCAAATGTGCCTGGCTTGGGACCCTTTGGTGGGCAACATGATGTGAGTTGAGACCAGCCACCACCTGTGCCTGGCTTGTGTCCACTTAGTTGAAGCTTTGTTCCAGGCCAAGACTGGCCATTGCTTATGCCAAACTTGCGGATGGGGACACCTGATGGGAGTTACAATGCAAGTTCAGACTGATCACAGCTTGTGCTGGGCTTGAGGTCACTTAGCAATAATTCCAAGGCATGCCTAGGAGAGCAGCTGCTTGTTTGGGTTTGCAGAACTCTGAGACATTCACAGCATGAGAGAGGCAGACTGCTTGTGTGGAGGAGCTGATGGAACAGGCTTAGTTCAGGTGGGCATGTTAGGTTGGGCAGGGTCTTGGGGAATCACGAAGGCCAGGTGAACATATTAGCCACATTAACAGGAAGCTCAGCTTTCACACTGTCATGTGGTAGGCAGACTGGGGGGAAGGAGAGTTCAACAAAGGAAAAAGGTCAGCTGTTAGCACTTCTGTCCAGGGACAGAGTTGCCCCATTATCTGTCACTCCAGCCCTTGCCCTGAAGTTAATCTATTTAGCTCCTCCCCATATGCCCCTGGCACTTTTCAAGCTGCTGCCCCTGCGCTGGAGCTTGGAGTAAGTTTTTGTGCAAAGAAGTCTGTGCACTGGCTCTTTAGGAGGAGCGCCTCAGGCTCTAGCATTCCTTTATCTTTCATAGATGTAATCCCCACTGGTTTTCACAGTCAGATGTTATGGGGGTTCCTCTTCCCAGCACTGGTACCTCAGACGGGGAAACTCTGTGTGAGGCTGGGGCCGCTCACTCCTCAGGGACAACTTCCACAGTTGAGATATCCCTCCCAATTCTTAATCGCCATACTGTGGGGGTGTGGGACCTGCCTATTCGCGACTCTGCTCCTCCTACCAGTCTTGATATGGCTTCTTCTTTATGTTCTTAGACAAAGGAATTCTGTTCAACTAATCTTCAGGTGGTTCTCCATGATGGCTGTTCTATAATTTAGCTATAATTCTGATTCGGTTGTGGGAGGAGGCAAGCACAGCATTTACCTACTCCATCATCTTGACCAGAAGTCACTCAATACTTATTCTTAAATCAGATCCTTTAAAAGGTTCATTGTCTCTTGTTCATAAAAAATAGAAAAATATTTTCAATTACTAAGTCAACTGAAAATATACATATACCTTTCTAAATGTATACAATAATACACTGAACACTAAAATAACAGGTATTGTTGCAATTCATAAAACAATATTAAAATTAGTTATCTAGATTATCCAAGATAGATTTGAGATGAAAAATATTTTATGTCATATATCTATCCTTCCAGAAGATGAAAATAAACTCCATTTCTTCAATTCTTTAAACTCAATAGCTAACAAAATTAAACTAACATTAAATCTCTTAAGTGGGCAATTAAAAATAAACTTTAATAAGATGTGAATTATATAATACCTCCATCCAAGTAAGGGCAGGTCCACAATTGATCTTGTTTCCAGCAATAGCTGAAAGGCGGGACAGGTAAGCCGTAAGCATCTGAGTGACTGACTAAAGAGAAAAAGAAGATTCAGTGGTAACTCAAAACAAAGATACTATACTCTCTTTCAGAGAAACTACTGTAAATTGGTTGTTTCTAAGGGGGGAAATTTACAGATTTTTCAACATTTTAATAGTTGCAGAGAATTATTCACAGAGGCTTAACAGTTCCATGAACTGAAACTATGGCAATTACATAGTAATTCCGTCTTGCGTAGAACTTTAACTTTTAGCCTCTCATCATCAAGGGATATACTACTTTATAGCTTCTAATTTTATTGCTTTCTGTCTCTATTTTTGTACTGAAAATGTGAACGATAATTATAGCTTTTCTGCTATAACTGGTTTTTCTGCCCAGTTTTCCCCAGCTGTTCTGAAACTTTCTCCGATCTGCTGTAATCTTCCATGCATTCAACTATGGCAGGACAGCCATGTTCATGCATGATCGCACACCACGGGTCAGCTGATTAGTCCAGGAATGTGAAGGAACATGAGCTGGCCTAACAAGAGTTACTGTGATAATTACGAACTGTGATACAAAATTTCAGCTCAATCTGGCTGCTGTCTTAAAAGAGAAAAACCTGTGACCTGCTGGTAGTGACCATGTTCTGAGACAGTATGAGGGAGAAAAATGCAAGAGTTAGTACAGAGATGAGAAATAGAGATAGACAGTTCTGAGTTTTCTATAATACAAAAGTATCTATGGTTTATGACATTCCTGCGATTCTGCTGCAGTATCAGTCTTACATGAATGATGATGTCACTGCTTTGCCCTTCCTACTTAATTGCCTTGGAATTAATTATAGATTTGAAATGGCTTCCCTCAAGATGTGGAACATATTTTGCACTGTTTTCAAGCATCCATTTTGGCTGCTGAGGAGTCTAATGCCAATACAATTCTTGTTGTTTCGAGAAAATCTGTTTTTTGCTCTCTAGAAGAAGCTTTTTGGGTTTTCTGTTTTGCCATTTTGCAATTTCATTACGTTTTCAGATGTGTGTCTTTTCACTCATTATATTTAGTGCTTAAATGAGCCCATTTAATCTGAAAACTTGCCTTTCTTTAGCTTTATGGGATTTTGTTATATTCATTTTTAGTTACTTCCATCTACTCTCTTCTCTGATAACTCCAATGAGAGGGAAGTAGGGACCTCTGGATCTCTTCTCCATGATTCCCAACTATTCTGTTACAACTTATCTTTTTATCCCTTTCGGGGCTGTATTCTTATAAAGCTTGATCTTCCAGCTCACTAATTCTCTCTTTGTCTGTGTCTATTTTGTATGTAGTCCAGCTACTCAGGTTTGCAATCATTAAAATTAATTTAAATGATATGTTCATTTCTAAGACCTCTGATTATTTTATTTTTGTAAAAATCTGCTTTCAGGGCTGGCCGAGTGGCTCAGTTGGTTAAGAGCTCACTCAAGAGTTTGAGTTCTGAGCAACAGCTGTTCGAGTCCCGGCCCAAGTTGAGTAGCCACTGAGCTGCCAACAGGTGGCAGGATGGCCCAGCTAAAAAAAAAAAATAATTAATTTAAAAAATTTTAAAAAAATATGCTTTCATTTCATGAATGTGATTGCCTCACTTTCTCTCTAAAGATAATAATCATTCTCCTCAAAGCCCTCTGTTTGCTCTTCCCAGTTATTTTGTTCAGTAATGTGCCACTTAACTGACAAGGATATGTTCTGAGAAATACATCCTTGGGGGAGTTCGTCATTGTGTGAACATCAGAGTACACTTACACAAACCTAGATGGTATAACCTAGTACACATCTAGGCTACAGCCTATTATTGCTCCTAGGCTACAAACCTGTACAGCATGTTATTGTTCAAAACAACACAAGATTAAATCAAACACAAGAGAAAGTGATGCAATCAAGAGACAAGGCAAACATGAGATGAATGAGGCTGCTGCCGGCATAACACAAGATACTGTCTTAGGGCAAACTTTTTATAAGTAGAAAGAGTACACTCTAAAACAACGATTAAGAGTATATTACAGTAAATACACAAACCATTAAGATATTTGTTTATTATCATGATCAAATATTATGTATTATACATAATTGTACATGCTATACTTTTATGAATGGCAGCACAGGTTTGTTTACATCAGCATTACCATAAACACTTCAGCAATGCATTGCACTATGATGGCTACCGTGTCACTAGAAAACAGAAAAACATTCAGCTCTGGTATACTATGAGACCTCTGTCATATATGCAGTCCATTATTGACCTAAATATTATCAGGCAGTGCAAGAGTGCATTCAGTTTTTACATATAAGATTTCTAGTTTATCTGTCTTCTGCAGTCCTCATGCATTTTATTCTATATTTCATGCCACCAAAAGTCTTATCTCATCTACTTTCAAACATTACTCGCAATTCTGATTCCTTAATGGTTCTCTTTTTATTTTCTGATGTTATAAAGAATCTCTTCCCTTTTATTTATTTAAGTGTTTTATATTTTTACTAGAAATTTTTTGCAGGAGTGGAGATGGATATATAGACACAGCCTGCCATCATAAATAAAGCAAACAGCATTGTTTTAATATGCATTTCTTTGATTATTAGTGAAGTCAATGTCTTTCCATACTTTTGTTTCTATATTTTATATTTTCTTTGGAGAACGGTCGACTCATACATATTGCCCATTTATATATTATGATATGAGGTTTTTTCCTTATTAAATTATACACTGAACCTCCTTTATTTAACATCCTACATAGCATTACTAATTTTTCAGTCATGAAATAATTAAATGATCCCAGGAATCATCCTGAATGTTCAATATAAGCTTTTATTTAGTATACAGGCAAAAATTTCTGCTAATTTATATACAGTGATTACCTCTGGACTGTCCTTCAGGGTATCAGAACGGGGAAGCTCTGAGAGCTGGGAGAATCGTCGGTCATATATACAAAGATGAAGATGTTTATCAAGCACTCGAAAATCTTCATAACTTCTTTTAACAATCCAACTTTTGCCCTATGGATAAGAAAAGAAGACTTCTATAATCCATCTCTATAAAAAATGCTTATGAATCGGGCATTATTCTGAAATGTTATTTCATTCATGAGTTTTTATAATTTCTAATGAAAAGTTTCTATTAACTTAATTAATAGTAAATAGTTAAACTCCAAAACAAACTAGTGAGTTATATTACATCAGTAGGTTCATAATGGCAAATAACTCTCCATTAACCCTCCTCTTAACACTGATCAAAGTCCACTGGCTCTATTTAGGAATAACTATTAGATAGTTAAGCAAGTGTTTGACCTGAAACCCACAGAAAGAGCCATAAAATAATTCTGAGTGAGAGAATATTATCAAAAATTTAAAAAATAATAAAACCAGGTTATTGATTAGTTATCACCAACATTTTCTGTGACTGAGATTGAAAATATACTAAAAAATTAAAACTACTTAAGTCTTCATCTATAGGGATTTGATATGTATATATTACCTAGAATCCATTCTCTCTCCTCACTTCCCAGGATTTCTTCCTTTCCTTGCCCAATCTAACAAACTTACTAAAAATGAAAATCCACTCATAGGGCATTTTTATCACGTACTGTCTTCTAATTTTCCCTTGAATCTATCACTTCCTTATAGCCGCAGCTTTAGTAAGGACTGATAGCATTTCTTCTTTGGAATATTGTTAACACTCCTTGCCTTTTATCTCCTCCTCTGCTCTCCTCTCCGCTAATACAAAACACAAAGCTTACCAGATCGCAATGCCAAAAATCCTTAAAAAGTTGCCATGGTCAGCAATGATAAACAGGTCCTGACCGCGCATCATTTAGTTTTGCAATTTAATCTAGATTTGTATGGAGACTTTCATATCACAAAACTCTGGAGGGACTAGGAGACTAAGCCTCAGAGTAACCATTTCAGAATGGAAGACAACATTTTAGTGTAGTTCTTCATCTGCCTCAGCCAAATGGGGCAGAAACAGCAGGTATCACTTCATAGGAAAGGTGCTGAATTCTAAACACAGGTATGTCAAAAACTAACTTGATAAACTTGTCTAATCCTGCTTTGGACAGCAATTCTCCATTACATAAATCTCCTCCTTCAGGAGGTTGTGAGAATGAAATAAGAGAATAGATTAGGCAAGCACTTTTGAAAAACAGTATTCTACTCTTAAAGAACAGTGTCCTGGGCCAGCCGAGTGGCGCGATGGTTAAGAACTGGCTTGGGACGCCAGAGGGCCCCGGTTTGGATCCCACATATGAGGGCCAGTGACACTGCCCTCCACAGC